AACCACAAATGTGATTTTTGTTACCATTTGTAGAACTGCATTTAATATGAATGGCTTGTAATTATACCCATAATTCATTAATAAGAAGTCTGGATGCTCAACAAAGGACTTCCAGTGTAACACTGATTTAAAAACTTGTTTTTTAAGCACCAGTGTTTCTGTTGTGTATATATTACATATTGGATTAGTTCATATGTTGCTGCGTCAGCATGCGTAGACTGCAAAGGAACAAGTAAAGGTTTATTTCATGCTGAAAAGAGAAGAAAAGAAACAATGTTTCAGCTGTGGACCCAAAGAAGGCTTCACAGCTGGAAAGTTGTTTCTTTTCTTCTCTTTTCAGCATGGTATAAACCTTTACTTGCTCCTTTTGCATATGGGATGTTCATTTTGTAAGTAAAAGAATGTGACCTCCCAGTTGGACAGAAGCATCTTGTATAAGATCATAGCTTTAACAGAAGCACCGTTAACACAAACGAAAACTATCAATGGAGAATTGCCTGTAACCTCATTCTTACACATATAGAGACTTCAAAAATGTAGATTACATATGCCCAATTAACATATTAATTCTTAAAAGTTTTAAAGGGTTTTATTTTATTTACAAAAAAAACCTGAACAAACTTGACCCAATTATGAAGATCAAAAAAAGGCATTGATTTTTGTCTGGCTGCTTTGAAACTGTACAGCTTAAATTGGTTCAATAGTGCATCATCCCTCTGTTCTGCACTAGTTCAGCAGAGTCAACTTGACTTTCGGTAATGTTTCACAGTCGTCTTACTGTATGTCCGTGCAGCCTTGCTCTTAACCAGGAATGAAATCTTTTGTTGTTGTTCGTCTCAGTCGATGGAAGAGCCACTTGAACCAAGAGGCGGTTGATGCAGTGTGTAGCACAAGGGCTTTAAATCCTGCTTCTCTTTGCAGAATTCGCTGACCAGAAGCGCGCCACTCACAAGCGACTCCCAAGGGCGCAGCGGGGCTCGTTTCCACATGACCTACGACAAGAGATACGTGATCAAAACCATCACCAGCGAAGACGTCGCAGAGATGCACAACATACTGAAGAAATATCACCAGGTAAAGACCAGAACCCAATCCGGCTCAATGAGAGCACCCATCTACAACACTCGTGAAAGTAAGAACTTGCTACTAAGATGCTGAAAGCTGTACAAAATCAATGTATTATAAGGGATTCTAAGTTTATTTCTATTGACGACACCCTTCTTTCACTAATTCTTTCATGACCATAGTACTGGAGCTTCTAGTGTTGTGTCTTTTTAAATTTCATCTATGGGCAACAAATTTTCATACTAAATTGATTTAGTTTAGTTTTGGTTATAGCAGACCACTACTATGCTTTATTTCAACTACTGAACTACACTACTGAATTCATTAACCAACTGTTGTTTGGGTGGCTGCAGGCACACAGGGACAGATCCAGCAGACACCCTTGTGTGTCACACTGCTGTATATTTCACATTTGGAAAACACAGTAGTTCTTGTCTGCACTAAATACAGCCCTGCTAATTTAACTTAACTGCAATCTGCCTGTGTTTCAGGGGGATGAATTCTACATTTCTGGAAATCTAAATATATAATGTCACGCTTCACCATTATTTTCTTTGTTGTTTGGCTGAAGAATTCACACAAGTGAATAAGACCCTTTTCTACATCCATCTTGCCCTTGTTTTAGAAAGACTCTTCCGATTTATCCCTGCCATTTTTATCCCTTTCCATTTTTCAACTTTACCAGTAAGGAAAATTTTCAGTTTTGTCTTTTTTTTATAATTTTGTGCCATTTTCGCAGTTGTTCAAACCACGTAACATTCGCGAGTATCACTGTCGTTCAAAGTAAGGATTTGAAATATAATGAGTGGTCAGTGAATTACTCTTTTTCAGAAATGGGACTGAGGAAAAAACTGTCGTTACCTAGTTCTTTTTTTAGATTTTAGTTGTTCTAGCCACTGTAAAATCTTGCTTGAGCTCAATCTGCTACATGAGACATTTTTTTCCTAATATGTATACTAAACACTCATTTAGTATGTTTAATATATGTTTATAATCTTGTCATTACTATCGTTTGTCCATAAGCCACTTTCTTCTGTTTTTAGTATTTGTGAATGTTTTACTGAAAAATGCTTTTCAGTATTTACCACTTGCAGTGTTTTGTCTCCCTGTGGTCATTCTGTCTCATGTCATCTGTGTCTGAAGCTCAGTAAACTATTTTTTCCTTCTGTTGACTCTGTATCTGTCTCGTCCCAGTTCACCACCTGTCAGCTTTGACTCATTCTCTTGTCTGCTGTTTAAAATTAGAAACCTTAATTTCGGTCAGATTTTGATTGAAAGACTACATCATAAGATCAAGTAGGTAGCTGTGTCAGCATGCATAGGTTGGAAAGCAACAGGTAAAAGCTTATTTTATGCTGAAAACACAAAGCCAAAATGTTATTTCTTTTCTTTTCAGCATGGAATAAGCCTTTACCTGTAAATTTACATCAAAAGATGTCATATCATGATTACAATTTCCAGTGATTAATGTCTGTTCCTTTGATTATTTCTTGGTAAAGATCAGGTCAATGAGTGACAATCTTTCTTTGGTGTACTGTATTTACACAGTGTTCAAAACAGCAGTTAGCCATTTCAGTCATCTCAGTTGCAGCTTCTGTTTTTTTCCCCATCATCTTGTCCCAATTAATGGGTGGATAATTTAAATCTCCCATTAATGTAAGGTCATCTTGGTTGCATACCTTTCAGCACAGATGGCACCCCAGTAATTGAACCCTGGTCTCAAGCATTGCAAACCAACAATACTAACCACTGCACCACTGTCCATCCCCTGCATTATGTAGTCTGTGTCTCCTAATGTTTACTCTTTAAGATTTTTCTTATTTACATGCATTGTTGTGATCTATGGAATTTCATTCCAAAAGCAGACTTGTTGTCAGTACTGCTACTTAAATGTGAATTATGTTCGAGTAAATACAGAAGTCAAACATTGTTTAAGAATATGCAAGGGTTTTGTCACAAAGCCCCGTAGAGAGCACCAGCTTCACTATACGTAGTGAAAATCATGAACCACAAATTGGGGGTTAATTTTCACCAAAAAATTAATAAGGTTGGAATGTACATTTAGCTTAAAGGCAGAACATTTTCTGGAGAAAACATACTCCTGAGATTACTTGGCATTGTCAGCAATATCTCATATATCCTAAATTTTAAGTATGTTGTCTCTGGGATGATCTCAAGACCATGCTTTTTTATAACTGTGGCCACTTGCATTTTTAAATATGGTGACTTTTTGGAAGAAAATAGTCCATAAAATATATAATACACAAAATCGTCCTCAGCACAGGAAGCAGTGGGGTTCACTTCTGATGTTCAGCAGTCATTTTTATTTTAGTGCTGCTGAGGCACTGCGGTGAAGGTCACAGACCACAGCCGGGAGGGGTATTTAATATAGCCAAGAAAGCACGCAACAAATCAAATGTCGAATGCCATTATTAAAACATTTGTCAATAAAAGCTTCAACAGTAGAGAACATTGCACTATTGAATAAATCATTTCATGGGGTGATTCAAAATGTAAATCGTTACTTCTCAAACTGCAGTCCATGACATTGTTCAGGTGCTCGGGGCCTCTTCACAAAAAATGGAAATATTCTTACCAAGCGTGCAACGTTAAGCATTTTGCACATTTTTAGGACTTGAACCTCCTTCGGTACTCAGAATATTGCATCTCCAATGCAACTTAATTCAGTATGTATTATGAGCATCATGGGACACCAGTCCATTGCAGAGCCCATTCAGATGCAAACATGCGTGCACACACATTCACACCAGGGCCAGTTTTCCCAGAAGTCCGTTAACCTACCTGAATGGCTTTGCACTGTGGGAGGATATCCGAGCCCCAGGAGGGAAACCCATGTGGAAATGGGGCGAACATACGAATATGACACAGCACAGGTAGCACCCCAGGGCCCCAGCAAAGTTAACCACTGTGCCGCCACGCTGCCTACAGCATTTCTTCATGATTTACCTTCAGGTGACCTGAAAGAAACATGTTTCTGTTGGGGCCAGTTTGCCAAGTAGAAAGGCCCAGACTTGCTGTTACCTGGGAGGGGGAATCATCACTGGGGCGCTCCTGTTGGGTGCTGTGGACCTTGCATTGTGTGCAGAAAGGAATGGCGTGATTGATGGGTTGGAGGAGCTTGTCTTCCTTTCCTTATTTCCTCTCTGTGTCATTGGGGTTGTTCCTGTGAGCCAGCTGAGACCCAAAGGATTGTCCATGCCACGTTGATTTAGTACCAAAGGGAAAATGTATCTCGGCAGTTAAGAACAGCATCAAGATATCCAAGTGTGTGCTTGTTTTTTAAGTTTGTTTTTTGCCAATTCTCAGAGTTAAATTCTAGAATGTGCCCAGTCCGTTAAGAATTTTTTTTGTGTGAAAACTCCAAATTCCGTGTTATTTTACAGATCCATGGCATCGTACATTTTGTGTGCTAAGCATTGTAGGCACCTCCCAGATTCCTCCCATTAACCGTACGCTGCGTCCTTGTGCACCCATGCAGTTTATCGTCGAATGCCACGGAAACACGCTTCTGCCACAGTTCCTGGGCATGTACCGGCTCACGGTGGATGGAGACGAGACCTACATAGTTGTTACAAGAAACGTTTTTAGCCACAGACTGTCTGTTTACAGGAAATATGATCTGAAGGTAAGTGGGAGAGGTAACTTATAGTAACTTTTCTTGTGTAGCTTTTTCAATCGTTTATGCAAGATGGAAATTAAATTTGTGGCATGTATCATTCCTTTGTGACTTTGAAAATCACCAAAATTGGTACCTACAATCAGACACAACTGTTAAACTAGCCAGAATGTGATTTTCCTTCATTATTTGCAGTTTCTATTGTTCACTGCTCTGTACACATAGAGTTTCGCAGGTATTCCCAAATTCTAGCCATTTTTATAAGTGTTTGTGCTTGCGTTTTAGTACACATTTTGAGGGCTGTTTTGTTTATACACAGCGCATGCTGAAACATGTAAGATATACACAGTTGTCAAACTGTACTTTGTGCCGACGGTGTGCTTCTTGAATTGTGATCTAGAATGCCTCAACTTGGTGTGTCCTGAAATTTAAATGGTTCTTTGTATTTCAGGGCTCTACCGTGGCCAGAGAAGCTAGTGACAAGGAGAAGGTAGGCACACTTTTAATGCTTTGACGTTTTAATTCGGCAGAGACGTTTCAGAAAGCAGTGCTGACCAAGTGACATCAGACGCCACTCTGTGGCAGCCATATACGTCTGGGTGTGCGCATTGTACAGTATAGTTGCAGGCCATGCAGAAAGCACAGCCTTCTGGCATGGGGTTGGGATTGTAGAGCGAGGAATGGGTCTCCAGCTCCAGTCTGTAATTCCTCTAATGGCATAAATCCCCATCCTTTCAATTTTTTTTTTCCATTTCTTTCCTCGTGTTCCCCCGTTGTTCCATCAGTGCTGTCGCTCGCTTCCTTGTTCTGGGAGCTCGTCTTGCCGCTGTCCCTGACGCAACACAGGTTTGTCACCTGGCCCGTGATCCTGGGGCTCTAGCAGACTGGAGAGGCCTTTTAGCTCCGGTTTGTATTTAAAAAAAAAAACACAGAGGTTCTGTAAGATTCACGTTGAAATTACGTTTTCAGAGTCTTTTCCATTTATAATGCGAAGCAAGTGTTTCTCTGTAGAGCAGCGTTTTGTGCCCTGGGATTATGGTGCTGCTGTTGAGGTGACAATCCTACTGTATGTGCAGCTGTAAAGGCAGATCAGACAGATCATTCAGTCATTTAGTAATTACATCACTGCATTTTTCTAGATAAAGTGCTTGAAGTCACTGATTGTCAAAGCAGCTTCTCTGTGATGCTTCTCCTGCCCTTTTCTTTATGCAGCTCTTTGTCTGACAAATAGATCTTGAACAGCAAACACTGTATTATTGCACCTTGTGTTACTGTCAGCTGTAAAACAGATTGGGGCCTTTCATTTTAGGAACTTATTTCTTGGCCTGCCACCCTAGTTCTAAAGCTGTAATTGCCCATCAGTAAACCATCTAAATGTTTGTTTGCTGTATATGCATGTATTAATAGCAAAAAAGCTTGGAGCGCTTTTTTGTCCTAATAAATTCTTGTAGTCTTTGTGTACAAGTTGTTTAATAAAACATAAAAACTGGATTGAGTTTCCCACATTTTAAACTAAATACAGGCTTTTATATCATGTGGTTACTTAACCAGTAAAAGCAAATGCCTGAGTCCAGGTCGAGCTGTATAATCGATCACGGGTTCGAGCCTGGCCCATGTCACTAGCCAACTGTGGCTGAGATACCCCCAAGCAGGTACTTGCAATTAGCTGAGTGCTTCGGAGATGAGGGTGGGAAGAGTGGGCCTGAGTTCTCTCGACCCTCTGCTCTCTGCGACCCCTATGTCCTCCTGTGCACCAGCAGGCCTGTGGTGCTGTCACTGAGGGATGCACTTCTATTCAGTATGGGCCTCAGTTGCCAGCGGTGTCTCGTAAAACGAGTAACTTCAGTGTGAGCTCATCAGAATCGTTTGTAGTAACAGGGCAAGATGTGAAAAACATGCAGTTGAATATTCCAAATCGGATAGGTATAACAAAAATAATCTAAATTTAGAGGAAAAGGCTGCCCAAGGAAAATGGACAAAGACAGAATAAAGACATGCAAAACTCAAATGGAGATAGTGGTGATTCTGGATCTTTAGAATCTGTAGATTCTACTTCAGTTTAATATAATGGCTCTTCATCCAAAAAATACTTTTTTCATTTCTTCCGTGTCCGGTTTGTAGTATATGCTATTGTTTTTCCATAGTATGGCTGTTTGTAAGGAATTACAGCAAAAAAATCGCTTTTTTTTATACGGCTCTTGGATGCCGAGTTGGAAATGTGAGTGGGTAGTAAATAAGGAAGAAGCAGTTAAGAAGGCAATTATGTTGCTTGTGTATGGAATTGAGTGCAGAGCACAAAACGTAGAAAAGGTTATAAACAAGAGGAAGACATTCAGCCCATCTAACTACTCAAGAGAAGTTAATAATTTTTTTCCACTCCTTGGATGTACAGTAGATCAAGGAGATCAAGACTGTACTGTCTAAGAGAGCCCAAAGAAAAGTAGTTAAACCTGTACCTTGGCTAAAAAACAGGCATTGTGATGAAAGAGCAGAACCCCATTTTAATTTTAAAGCAGAAAATTAGGACTTATTCAGATGTAAATCATCTGGTGAGAACATTTTGCAGATAACGGGTACTGGAAGGGATGTAAAAAGAAAGGGGGGAACCTCTGAGCAACTCAAACTCCAAGCGTCCGATTACATATTAAAGAAGAGATAAGCGGAAATGAGAGAGTAGCAGTTAGAATCTGGGCTGTGCCAGGACATCCACCTTGAGAGTATCATCTGTGTCTTGACTGCTGCTGCATTTCTGCAGATGTCTGTTGACCAACAGAGCCAACAGAGGACAGTGCACTTACATGTTGTGTTAATCATTCTAGTGGTGTTCAGGGGCAAACAATCAGACATGCATAACAGCCTGCAATTAGAAAATGATTTATATCTGCACAGTATACAAGCAAATTCACCTTGGTAGGAACCACTTTTGAAGTTTTCGGTGCCGGCAAACACTTAAATATTGGCACAGATTCCTAATTGAAAATGTATAGCACAGGAGGTTAGGATCTGACAGGCCACCCTAAATCATCACCTGTGTTTTTTTAAATTCCAAATGTTTCTCATCTTATAGGTCAGTTAATGAGTATCTGGTCTTTGAGGATAAAACAGTCTTGGATTTGTATTCCCAACCTTTTCTTCATTGCCTGACCCGTTTAGCAGATCACAGTTCCACTGTGCCAGGTCTTTAAATGATTTAATGGTGACCTGTAAAACTTTGGACAGGGTCTCTCCAGAAGAAGAGATGGAGACACCTGCTTTAATGGATATGTTTATGCATTTAATTGTTGAAAATATGATTCTTAGGATGACATGCTTCTTTAGTCCAGGCTTCATGATAATAAAAACCATTTAGTTTAGATCTGCTAGCAGTGTGAAGGTAAGAGCAGCAGTGATAATTGGCAGTATACTGCAAGTTCAGGACTGTTGCCCATTTTTCATGGCCATAAGTACCGCACGTGACATTATATAGAAGGCTTTTTGCGCAGTTTCCCTGCAACCCTATTTCAATTTCCTTCTGGACATAGAAATCGCATAGCCGTTGTACGGAGTGCAATGTAACCTATCATAAAATGCATTTATAACATTTCTTTAAACCCTCACTATATTTACACAAGCTCTAAATAAATAAATGTACAGTATGAACATTTCATACAAAGGTTACTATTTACTATTATTATAAAAGACTGTTTAATTTGATGTGGTTTTCATTATTACAGTTGTCACGACCAAAACATACATGATGTGGAGCTTGTCCATTCAAAGCGTTGTTCTTCCAAGTCCTGTAATGTATGCATGTTGGCACGAAAAGGCCTGATATCTTTGTAACCTACCCATATATTGGTACTGTACAGAAAGGCAGCCCAGAATAGCTTTGTGGTCACATACAGTATACAATAGGCTGTCCCTGGTCCAGCATTCTCCAAACCTGGCAGAAGCAAAAAAGTGGCCTTAACTCTGATGCCCATGGCTGACTTCATTTTTGGTGAATTCAGACTTGAGGAAAGGTGGCCCAGGGCTTTTTTGGACTTTTATTCTTTTTTTAATTCTCTGCAATGCACAGAACACTATTAAATATTGCACCAAAGTTATATAAACAAGTCCCTTTTGATGCCTCTGTAGGTAGTTACATTTGAACAGAATATTCTAGATGCCGCACTGTGCTCATTCATGTATAATGCAAAATGTTGTCCTTTTTTTCTGATCTGAGAATGAAAATGTAAGTTATTCTTTTCCATGACTGCATTGTTAATCAAGGCTCACAACGTATGTCTGTGGAGGATAAACCTGCTCCTCAAATGCCATTTGAAATTACACGTAGCCGGTTTTATCCATTTATTCATACGAGTCACTGAACACTGCAGTCTATCAGGCATGAGAAAGACCTGAAGCAAAACGTACCCCTTGTGATTTGAGGATTTGTGTGCGAGTGTGTGCGCGCGCGTCTGTGCTAAAAATAGCTTTTGCAAGCTAACAATAGCGCGCTGTGGAAGGTCATCTTCTTAATCCACCGTGGGCAGGGGATCGCAGACACTTGGGCGCGAACTGCCGTTAATCCTGCCCGTGTCACTCGGAGAGCTGATTGACTCCATTGTGGGGCCCTTCTCTCGGATGCGATGAGCCGCCCTGCCAGTGGAACAGCGAGGCAGAGTTCAGAGCGCAGGGCTGCGCTCCTGTAGCAGACGGGCTGGGCACAGGGCCAGCCAGCAGGAAGCAGGCTGCTCAAAAGGCATTACATCAGGGAGCCGCAGTAAAGGACGACTCTGACTCCGCTCTGACTCTTTGGAGACCTCGCAGCCCACCTCCTACCGGTGCTTGCGAGATGCCAGGATGCGTCACGCGTTTTTTTTCCTGTCAGGTGGATTGTGGTGGGTGGAGGGGACTGCAGTTTTCCTCCTTTTTTTTAGGACGGCTTTGAAGCCCTGTTTGTACTGTCCAGTTTAAACATCCACTGCGCCACGTGCGTAAAAGAGAGCAAATGAGTATTTGCGATTGAGAATTGAGCAGATGAACATTTTAGAAGATCCACGGGTCATACTAGGCCTTGAACGGAAGAAACAACGACCTGTTTCTTTTTTTTAAAGAGCCCCACTATATCAATAAAATTCGAAAGGTTTAAAAATGTTCAGAGAAACGTTTTATTGGGATTGATCCTCAGTTTTTAACATCTATTTTTTCATGAAAGCAATTTCATAATATCAGATTATATTGTGTGGAATAGTATAGTGATGAATGGCTGGTTAATGGGCATGGAAATACTGTAGACACAAACCTAAAGCACAGCAAGGGAAATTACAAATGCTCATAAAAGGATTTATTTTCCTGCAGGTCTGAACTGCAATAGGCTGTATTTCAGTGATGATAAAGAACTATAGCAGGGGAAAGTAACCTTGTCCTGGGCTTTTATGGTTTTCTAGTTTCAATTCTATCTCTAACCATAATGACTTAATTGAACCAATTGAGTGCATAAGAAGTCCAGGGTGTTTTCAAAGTCTT